CAATACCGCACACCCTCGGTCCCTACACAGACTGATCCAAGTGGTCACCCACCCGCACACTGACCGTAGCCAGTGATGCTTGACTTCGGTGATCTGCTGGGAACCGTGTCTTAACGATCAGTCCACTGCGGGACAACCTAATAGAGGAACAGTGCCATTTATTTTTTTCTCAAGAACTCCATTTTGCTCCCCAAACCTTATTTTTGTCATGTATGTTTCTTAGTCTAATTTCAGGATGAATGAGAAAAGGGCCGTAAGGCCTCAGACGCCCAGTTCCACTACAATGAACGAGCGAACGAACCTCTTCTTCTTCCAACTCAAGAATCCTCTTCTTCATCTAACTGAACTTAACTCAACTATTCTACTTCATCCAACTCAACTCAACTATTGCTTTCATCACTTCGCCGTGATTTCTTTTTTCCGAGCAATCTACTAAACAGTCGAAAACATTGATTTGGTAATGTATAATTATGCATTTTTCCGATAGATTTCAGCATTCGAAATTTTAAAATATATTTTTAATTAAAATTATTTGCATTTCTTAGTACAACTAATTTGTATTGAAGTATTTTTGCTTGAGATTTCAAATTTGACATTTTTGCTTATTTAAGTGAAGAGAAATATTTTCCCGTTGCTATTAAATGTGATTTTTTTTTTACATTCAAATCTATGTAATTTTTGATTATTACGATTTAAGTAATTTAAAGTCCTTTATTTAAAAACTTTACTTTTAGATTTAAGCAATTTGATAAGCTTTAGTGCCTAACATGCGTATTAAAATAAGTTTCAAAATAACTCATGTTCCTTATAATTCTTAAAATTATTAAATTGAATCTGTTTCGAGCTAAAAACATAAAAATCGGCCTTGTTATTGTAAAAAAATTAATTTGAATGTAAAATCTCCAGATTGTATAAAAACTTCAGACTGGTATTTACATAAGAACTTTTTATTTTCAAATTTAGATTTATTCGTTTCTTTTGTTCGATCGACGGGGAAAACGAGGAATATTTTTGCCTCTCACAAACTACAAACGCTAAAAAAAAACTTTTTTTAATATATAAATGTATGTGTGAGTGCGCGTGGGTGCGTTACTTCCAGACTTTATAATCTTGAATAATTCTTCCAGAATTTGTGTGTGATACTTTGATCTTTTGTGAAAAAAAATCAATATTTGAATCTTCATAATTTAAATTTACCTGAATTCTCTTTTAGTATACTCTAAAGTTTGAATTATTTATGCAGATGAAAGAGAAATTAACGTAAAGAGTTTTTAATACGATGTATAGTATTCTCGTAAGATTTATTTCAAATATAGTCGAGCCATTTTGCGATAGTTGCTAAGAGTTAAATTTTGCGTATTAAACGAAGCATTAGCGTAAAATAGAAATAAGTTTTTTTTTCCGAAAACTTTTAAATGGATCTTATGACTCAGCATGATGGTTAAATAATTTGTTTAATTTTTGATGTGCAGATTTTAAATCCATTGTTGAACAGCCGATCCAATTTTGGTTTGAATGCTGAATTCCATAGCCCTGAATCCCTTCCGTAGTTTAAATCCCAGTTTGAATTTCCGTAGTTTGAATCCCATTCAGAAAGCACTGAACTTGAAAGAAAGTATTGGAAGAAATTTGCTAAGTGGGGGACTTTTTGATGGAACTAACCCGCATTAGCGTTACATGGAGTGGAAAATCGCGAAAATCTACCACAGTGAGGCTGACTGCTAATCCATAATTCGTCTATCACTGAGAACATTTTACGTCATTACTGTGGTCGATGCGAGCAGGGTGCGACATTCGTATTGACTACTTGACTTGATACTGGGTTACCACGTTTGGAGGCGAGCTCTCTATCTGCTGAGCCACCACGCCTCTGATGACCACATTAATCATTCAATGTATACGCTTTTGATATATCTCCTGAAGATTGGAAGACATCAATTATAATTATTAACAGGATGTGCCCAAAATGTATTCTAGATGCTGTTGCATCTCAATTTCATAAAAATAAATTATAAATTGCATTTTTTATTTAAGAAATTTTCTAGCAATGTATATTCCTGACTCTCATTAAATAAATATTAAATGTTAATATATTAATTTTTTTTGAGATATGGCTGATTATTAATTCACTAACATTGTTAATCAGGTAAATTTTAAAATCATGTAAATAGGGTGTGCATTTATGTATATTTAGATTGTTTCATGTTTACCACCCTTAATGTATAATTTTAGCACTTGTTTTCAAAATGAAGGCGAATAAAATTTATACTGGGGGGGGGGGTATGAAATAAGTTTGAAAGAAAGAAAAAGGCTAACTGCGTCGAATCATTGCTGAAAAAGGTAGACGCGGAATATCAAAACCTGTTTGTGTAATAAAGATAGTTCTAGGAATCTCCTTTTGGATGTTTTCAGTCACTATTCTTTTTAAAAAATTCTGTATATTTTCCTTGTATTTTTATATTTTGCAGGCTTAAAATATTAGAATTTTAGTGTGTTTATTTATTTTTTATTTTTTACAAGAATTTGAAAAAGATTTAAAATTTTCCTTTAACGAAACTTATTGCATATAGCTTTGACAAAACGCAGCTTTTTCTATCCATCGACAAATAATCGTGTTTCCAGTGTTTCGGGCCAAGTCTGGATTCAAATTTTATCAATGTGTTCTTTATCTTATAGCTGCCGCTTTAGGCAATTCCATGATAAATATCCCCACCATTAAGTAAAAAACAATTTTTTCTAGATTTTCACATTTATAATTAGAATCAATCGAAGGCGTTGGAAAATTATTTGTCGTTTCTGAATGGACATTTATAATATCGACTTACCGTTATATTGAAATTTTGTGAGGCTTTGGAAGCATCCTCATAATTTATTCACCTTCTCTGGATCTTTAGATTTATTTTTATGCAAAACAGTCTCTATAATCTTATTTTGTTTCCTTAACCTATTATAAGTATCAAATCTTTCAAGAAGAAATAAATGAGGATTGATAAACCAATTATTTAATTATCAGAATTTATTTAGTGAAGGCAAACACTTCGTATCCTATAATAAATTAATAATATAAGTAACGAAATTTCTGACTAAAATCATAATGCAATATTTTTCAAAACTTAAGTTGAGCTATATAAGAACAGAAAATTTTCACTTTATTTAAGGGCAAGCATCTTAACACTTCTTTACATGAATAAAAAGAATATTTTCACCACACCTGCAAGGAATAGATAAGGTACCTATAACCATGATTGTTTTAAAGCACGTGTTTTGTGCAGCGAAATAGGAGAAATCTCATATTCTTATACACATCTTAAGAGTCACATTGTATACTTAACTTCATAAAAATACTTTTAACAAACTTTAGTTTTTCATTTTAGATTCTGACGATTTGTGACAAAGTAATACCTCACTTAGGCAAGCTATGGACAACGTAGGATGGAAAGGGTATCTTAAATGTGTAACTGGCACTTGCTTGTGTGGGGTCGGCATTCTCCTGGGTTCTGTTGGATACCATGTAACAAATCCTACTGAAAAGGTGGCTTATAATCTCTTAGCGTGTACATCTGTAGTCTTGGGTTCCAGTTTGACTTACCATGCGTTGAAAAACGGAGAAAGCGACGAAAGTATTGGTCCAGAAGTCTTGGCGAATGATATCACTTACATATCAGTCAATGAAGAAAATGGAATGAAATAGAATTGGAACGGAGTATTCCTTCATGAAGCCGAAAGACCTTGTGGACTTTTAAATCATGTTTTAAATTGTATTTCGTTTTACAATTTTATCATCGGATTTGTGTAATAAACATTTTAATTCTTTAGATTTGTTTTTAGTATTAAGAGGCCACCACCTTCGTCATTTTGGGTTTTAGGTACAATTTTCAATGTGTGTTTCCTTGATATTTTTTTGTAATTAGCAAACTGGCCTCAGCCATCAGTGATGCTCGACTTCGGTTATCTGCTGGAAACAGTGTCTTCATGATCAGTAAACTGCGGGACCTAAATTAGGTTGGATTAGGGTGTTCAATATTTTCTGAAAATAAAGTGGTTTTTATTATTACATAAAATGCAAAAATTTTCGAAATTAGAGAAGCCTGTAGCATAAACAAATGTATTAGTAGTGAAACCTTTTGAAATAGCGGTGGTCTAAAATTATCTTTCCGGTTGCTACGCTATAGTAAGATAGTATTAATTCATCTTGGATATTTCCACTAATTTCAACAATTTCAATGGAATTTTGTTTAAGTAAAGTTACTATTGTTTGGAGTTTGTATTTTCACTAAAAAATTTACTATAGAAATTTACAAAATTGTTCCCAAGAGTAGTGCAAGCAACAGAATTAAGATTCAAAAGTTCAAAATATAATCTTGATGTAGTATCTAAAGTAGTCTATAAACATATTAGTAAGGGGAAAATTTCAATAAAATGGCTTAAAATTAGCAACGTGGATCAGGTGGAGAAAATATCTGAAAAGTAATTTGAGTCCAGGTGTATTTCATGTGTCTAATACTTTGAAATATTTTTAACTAATTTTTTTTCAATACATGTTTTCTTCACAAAAATAAACTTAATGAATTCCCTATAAGCAAAGCAAAAACACATTACGAATTATTATTAGCTTTATCAGATATATGAATTTAAGGAAAAAACTTCAAATATTTGTCACAAAATTTCATTGCAACTAAAAACCTTGATGTTTGCTTAGTTGTCACTTTTTCACCGTAGAATTACAATATATAGGTCATATAAATTCCCAGGAAACAACTTTATAAAAAAATTAAGGGGTAGACCACACTCAACGTTTTAATGCAATATTTTTGTTCCTTTTCATTGAATGAGTGTTTCGAAATTTTAAAAGTAAAAAGATTTTCTAGAATTCCAATTTTTGGATGAGTTAATGAAGAGTAATACTGAGTTTAGTATAAAAACATAATAAATTTTTAACTTTTATGCACTTTCCAGAAAAAAAACTTCGAGTGAAAGACTCAGCGTAAACTTTTGTATCAAACTTTCACTTTGGTTTTACCGATAAAGTCCTTTATTTATTAGATACTAGCAGATCCTAATCTCTGTTGCTTGCCAACAGTCAGTAATATAGGTTGCATTGTGAAAATTATGATAGGGCACGAAATAATAAATAAATAAACTGAACACTCTGAGTAACTTGATCTGGCCACCGGATCTTCACGTACTGGGATATTCAATCCTAATGGCTTAAACAAGGTTCTTCGAAGCTCTATCACCAAGGAAAAATATAAAGAAAGAAAAGGCCACAGTGTAAGCAAAGTGATTATTTTAAAATATATGAATCATATCGGCATATCGCCGTGAAGAATTATCTGGGCTTTGGACAGATAACATAAATTTTTTAAAAGTTATTAAACTTTTTTGTAAGTCTCCAATTTTTCGGCATTTTTCCACTCAGATGAAAATTATATTCATTACCTTATTCTCTTATTTTGCAAAATTTAGTGAGCCCAGATAATGCAGCATTGGAGTAAGTTGTTAAATATAAAATTAGACAACTAACGCTTTTATTGTCACAAAACTGCGGCTTTCTCCACAATGCCGTTTTTGCGTCATTTTAAGAATAAGCACTGCGTCATTTTCAGCTCTGGTTTAGATGGGCAAAACTTATCCAAACAGTCATAAGTAACTGTATGAAACTCTAATCAGTTATGAAAATAGCATATTATTCGCAAAAAAGCATTTCATGTGACAACTCAGCCTACGAAAAGCAACCTAAAAGTTCAACATAAAAACGTAGTTTCTCTGAGTAAACGTACCTTTTTCCGACAGATTTAGGTTTCTGACTCTAAAATACAGAGGGTAACTACAAGCTGAGAGATATGGCTCTAATAGTTTTGTCAGGAACGAGGTCGAAAGTTTGGACCCCTCAATGTTAATTTTACCTTTTGCGTATTTCGTCATGTCTCGAGAACTTTTTAGCGAATTGAAAAGCTTTTACACACAATCATAAAGTTCAGTTATCCAAAGATAATTTCTTATAAAAAAAAATAATTTTAAATTATTTATTATTTTTTTTTAAATAATAGTCACAAAAGGATTTGAATTTTAAGCTATAGAATGTTTTACATGATTTAAAAGAAAATTTTTATATTTGTAACAAAACACAAAATTCGAACAAAAATGGTGGAATAATTTTTGAGAAACACAAGCTTAAAATTCGATTTCTCTGAAACTATTCATCCTATTTCGTTAAAATTTGTATTTTGCTTCATAAAATTATTTCGTTTAAGATTATATAAAAACTTACCTTACAATTCCTTTTTTTTTTACTATTATCTAAAATAATAAAAATAACTATTAAAATTATTTTTAGCATAGCTTTATCTTTGATGAACAAATTTTATAAATGCAGACTAAATTTTTAATTCGCTTCAAAAGTTCCCGAGATATATTGTAAAATATACGATATACTGTGAAACATACGAATATATGATATTTTGAAACAATAAAATTAACATTGTGGAATCGAAATTTTCAACCACTCTACTGACTCAACTTCTGAGACCATATTTCCCAAATTCTGGCTATCCCTCACATTTTGAGGATCAGAAATCCAAATCCGACAAAAAAAGGTATGTTTATTCCTTGGCCAAAGGATACTCGCCAAGGTTTATTCATAGAAAGCATGTTTCATTGCTCGACTTCGTGTTTTTAAGATATAGTCTGTAGTAACTATTAGCATTCCGAAGTTAACATAATAAACCATTAAGATTGAGTCCTAGTACGTGAAGATTCGATCACTAGATCAAAAGTTATTCAGGGTGTTTCGTGTTCTCTTTCCTTTTTTTTTGCCCACAGTACAATTGATCAAACGCATATTATTACTTCTACTAAAAACCTTAGTAGACTTGTAATATAAACCCATAATTAAGATATCTTATTTAGCCTAGAAAGGCTTTTAAGATAAAATCAAAAATCATTCTTTTCTAGAACTCCTGTTGATCGAGTTTAAGATTATAATGCAAGGTAAAAATTAGTGTGTTTTAATTTTAAAAAAAAAAAATAGTCCAGGAAAAGTTTACAATAATAGAACTTCTTAAGATTTTAATAAAATGCATAAGTTAGCAGTCTCTATCAAAACCATGTAGCACGACTTTTATTTTATGAAAACTCAGAAATATGGTACTGGAAACTGGCGAACATACGCAACTAGAATGGGGCCTGGTCTCTGAACTGCTTCGTTTTCAGTAAAAATGTTTACCTCTTGGTCAGACCATCTCCGATACCAGGAAGGAGGTTCTATAACGTAACAACCTCTACTTTGGGTATTTTTGAGAAAGGTGGAAATCTATTCGTGATCTCCAAAACTTTGACAAAAATCAAACGTAGAACATTTTTTACACTTAAGTCTACCAATAAATCTTTAACTTGTAATCTCTAATAACTCTACCAGTAAACTTCATTTATTTATTATTATCTTTTTTTTTAATTTTTAGATTGATATAAAGTAAATTAAATTTAGACAACGCAAACTTTTTGGTGCTGTTCAAGAAAATAAGGTGAATGCGAATTATTTAAAAATTTCATAGTAGGTATAAATAATCTGACATAGTAATAGACATAAAGTCAAACAATAAATCATGAAATAAAATCAAATAATGTATCTAGATCACTTATTTCGATCAAAAGATTAGGACCAAAAAGAAGCTATTAACCTTCAAAAAGACAGGCGGCATTAGAAAACAGCGAAGATCTCAACTCAGATTTAAAAACATTGATAGTAAATAATTGAAAAAAAAACAAGCATCAGACAGATTCCGTTTCCGTTAGATAAAACTATTTGAAACTGCCCTGGCCTGCTCTGGGCTCAAAAATCAGTTCTAAACAAGTGAATTTTTGTATATGATTGTTTTAAAAATATTGTTTAATTGTTGTTCTTTTATATGCATATTTTTTTTTTTGCTTTTATTTTAAAATACTGAATTTTATCATTAAAAATGTTTATTCACGTTCGCAACATTCGAATACGCTCTGTGGGAAGAATACGCTCTGTGTTTTCACTCTCCCTCTTCCCTCTGCTCAGTTGTATAGGAATGTTCTACAAAATTTCTCCCTGCCATAATATTTTTCGCTTTTTATTATCAAAAATATTTTCTAAAATTTCCATAACGCTTTCTTTAGAACTATGTTTGACACAGTTTTTAATTCAATATAGTATCCTAACTTAATTTTTTTTTTATTTGCTTGAAAATTGATACAGAAACTAATGCATTTTCTTCTCTTATGATTATCCTCACGCTAATAGTGAGAGCATGCGAACTGTTGTCATAGGTAGAGGTTTCTATTATGAGCCACTTAAGAGCAGAGCCTGACTAAGACAGGGGCATACGGGGCAGTTGCCCCGGCCCCCACGTCAGAGGGGCCCCCTAATCGAGTAGAAAGTTCATTTTATGTTTCCTTCTTTAATGAACTTTTACAAAATATCAGTATATACGGTGTAAAATTCATCAGGTTTATGTTAGCTTCCTGGTCAATCTATCGTATGAATGCAATCTATGTTTCGTAAATCCGTAGCTTTCTAGTGCAGAATTTAGGTAAATTTCGCAATTATGATGGTCAAATTTGGCCAATCAAAAGACTGTATTCTTACATATCGCAAAATGGGATGTGTTTATCAAAATACAGATCTCTGATTGACTTAATTGAGCCATCGTAATTGCAAAAATTTAGTTGAATTCTGCCCTAATATCAGCAAGCATATAAATTTTTTTGCAGCTAGATGACAAAGTTAACAATTAGAAAACAGCATTTGGCATGGCCGTTATTGTTCATTAACGTTGCACTAGAGCTT